TGATGTTTTAATTAAGAAAAGCAAACTACACTAAGCACTAACTGCCTTACCATCTCCATTCATACCAACAACAATCAACAGAAGTAATCTACAACAATACAGGTTTAGAATACTCCTGCACTTTAAAGCTAGGGAAGCCCAATAGAATTTTTTTCTTACAATTTCCTAATATTAATCAATCCAATCCATACCTCCCAGGGAAATATATAGACTGGTACTTAGTTATCCATTGTTTTTATATTTCCTGAATGTTCTGAGAGTCATCAGTCAACACTGTTTTTGAAATGCATATTTATATGCAGATTAGATGTGGATTTGCCCAGTATACACCTTCTGGATAGAACATGGACTTGAATGGAATCTGTAGTCAAAGTCCATATATTTCCAAACTTGTAATGAACCAAAACAAATGCATTCACCAGCATGCATGCATTTGAAAAATGTGCATAATATGCTTTGATAAAAGGGAGAAGAATGCATATATTTCAAACATGTGTGTAACTGATGCATACATTTGGTAAAATAGGCACAGGTTTTCACATAAAATAAACAAAGCGCACAAACTAATACAGATGCAAGTCGGAACAAACTTCAAACTTTCACAGGCTCAAATTTTGCTAATTCAGTTGCGATTTAAATTAAACCCACCCTGCCCCAAAGTCAAAAGCTGTCAGCCAGCTATGCAAACAGCACAGCTTATACTCATTCCACAGTGGTCCCAGGCTACTGTTGGAACTAACACATCTGAAACACTATGCAGATAAAAATTATGGAGATCCAACATATGGGAACATCACATCTACAAAGCTTGGAGAAGGAGAAGGAACAGAAACAGCAGATACCACTAATATACTGGCAAATGTGATCTTCAGATAGGAAAATGCATCCTTGGCCCTTGTGTATTGCACTTATTTTGGAATAAAAGCTAGAATGTTCTTTTGTGGAGGTGGACTTAACCATTTCACAAAAGTATAAAGCATAAATCCACACAGGCAATTAGACCATACTAAATGCATTTTTTCAGTATATATTTATACACCCAATTAATAATTTAATAGTACACTCAGCTGCAGCTAGGACAAAAGTGGAAAGGGAAATGAATACTTGTAGCTGAAAGTATCTGCTTATAAGGAGGGAACAAAAATAAGCCAGAAAAACCCATTTTCAATTATCCATCAGCCAAAGATGATGAGTTTTAAGTGCCCATCTGCATGAAAGCAACTACAACACTACTTACTATGAGGTCTACTTAGCAGTACTAAGGACAATGAAGCAAACTAGTATCCAAATCATTTTCTTGACGTTACCAGCCTGATGTAAAGGAACAGCAGCTGCTAATCCATCTAAATCCAGATTAGCACTGCTTCCAAGGTTTGCATGGCCTCCTCATCATGGCCAAAGGTCAGCCAGACTCCAGTAAGGACACAAGCTCAAGGTTTTGTTCTAACACAGGCAATGCAGGGAGAAGGATTAAATCTTTGTCCTAATGCAGGGGCTGCACAGGGAGAGATTCTTTCTGTCTCAACCCCAAACAGATGGGCAAAAGTTTGCAATGTTGCTGCTTCTCAGATGGATCTCAAAATGTAGACAAAGCAGGCATGCCTTTGAAATGCCTCTCCTGTTCCAATCTGGAAAGGGATGGCAGGGAAGTGTCCTCCTTTTGCTGACTTTAGTCTGTGCTTCAGAGATTCCACATCACTCAAGGACATGTCCTCGTAACCATAACATTTTGGTGGGTTGCCCCAAGTCTGTCATCCTTTGGTTAAACGATTGTCCACCTACTGCCAGATGGACCTCCATTTCATTCTTTCTTTGGTTCAGTTAGTTTGGTTTGGATTTTGGAGGGCCATATTGTCAGGACAACTTCCATTATCCTTCTTCTCTGTTGAATTTAACCCACAAGCAGTGACAACAATGGGTTGTATCCAGCATCATGACTGTTCACTCACAGGTCTCACTGTTTCTTCGTAGCTACGGTGTCCTCCAAATCTTCTCCAGAGGATGCCCCAACCCTCAAAAGCCCAGGGGAGGCAGAGGAAGAAGTGGGCACAGAAGTGCTGTTTCAGTTGCAGTGTCATGATGTGGGATCCAGTGAAACATATTTATTTGTGGCACCATTTGCATACCATGTCACAGTGCCAATATGGATACTTCATGAAGTCAGTGGTACTATTCATCTAACTTCAGTGTACAACCACTGATGACTGTTGGCCACTTAATCATCAGGTCTCAGCATTTTTTCATAGCTAGTTCCCAGAAAAAGCTGTTCTATTAATCATTTTCTGTGGAAGCACTTGGCAGAAATGCAGCTCTGTACAAAGAGCAAGAGAATAATCCTGAAAACATTTCTTCTGTTTGTACAACCAAATTTTTAAAAGCTCAGTAGTGCATTTCTGCTATAGAAACACCAGTAGTAAAAAAAAAAGAGCTGAAAGGGATGGGAGGGGGAGTCTATGTTTAGTGTGCATGACATCTCAGATTAAGGGTGCAGTCATATGGAGATGAACATAAGCCCGCCAAACTTGGAGACGCATGCAATCCAGAGAAGGAGCAATAGTGGTTTCTAGTCCTATTTGAATCAAAAGACCAACTAGCACCACCCCGATGTCAGTGAAAGGGCCTCTCGTTAGGCCGGGTGACACTGCCATACTTGTGGCTCGCTTATTGATTCAATACATTCCTATTGCTTATTAATGGGGCTTATGCCTCCAGGAGAGTAACATTCACAACCTACCCAGTGATTACTTGAATGGAAATCGCTTCTTGTGTGATAAGCACTGCTCCTTCATGAGCAGCCAGCAGAGCACCTTTTCAATTACTCTCTTACAAGACAGAATAGAATGTCATCAATACAAGAGGATGTTTCCTGTTAAATATTAAATATATTGAAGCAATAGCGGACTATAGTTTCACAGTAAAATAATGGGAGATATTCCCAAGAGGACTGAATAAGTACTAAATAGTTTCAATGTCCATAGCTATCTTATTTTTGATAAAAGAATCATTTGACAGAACAAGAGAACAGACTTTCAACCAAATCCCTGCTTTCCACAGTCTTCACAAATGTAAAATTGAGCCACATGCTTCAAAAGATATTATGCATAGCAATTACTGCTGAGGACTATTGGATCAGTAAATGCTTATCACACCAACTTTTATTTTTAAGTATACCACTGGCCAAAAATTTTTTTTTGCTGTTTACCTTCTTCCTGCCAGTACTTTTCATTCCAACCACATATACCTACTAAAGAATTTACATGTATAGCCTTATTTTCAAAACCTCTGGACACATTCACACCATTAAGACTTTTTGCCTTAATAGTTCCTACTACTGGAAAAGATCATCACAGCAAAGTCTAAGAATCTTATATCAAAGCATCCAGCAAGTACCTAAATAAAGATTACAGTTCTGCTATATGTTATTAGTGAAACTGAATGACATACTGTTAGTTCTATATGGAGGCAAAATGTATGAAGTACTGCAGGAACCTAAGCAATGTACTTATCAGAACAGAATATATAGGAATAGGAAACACATCTACAGGAGGTGAGAGAATGTACATCACTCTAAGCGTGCTAAATTCACAGAATTTTAAGTTAATTGCAAAAAAGGGATCAAAAGTTTCTCACTGTGATCTTCAGAGATCAAGTCATTTAATTTACCTGTCACACTACACTATGCCTGAGTGTGTGAAAAGGAAAGGAACAGGGCTCCTTACAAAAACCTATACCTAACTCTAAAAAGTTCTGAATGTTGCTCCACCCAAGCACATTAACCTATGTATGTGACTCTCTTAAAACATATGCCAATAGAAGTTTGTAAATCAATTTTTTATAACCAGTCCAAAATCCTGATGCGCTTGCAAAGGATATTTAGTTATTAAATATTTACATGACAAGCAATGGACCTACAACAGTCCTATACTGGGCCAAAGAAGGTAGTACCTGAATTCTAGGGCAGGTTTATAGCCAATTTAATATTAAACGCAGCCAGACCATCAATTCTTATCACTTCTAGACCTTATTGGAGAAACAATGAGGTTGCCAACTAGTAAGTACCCTCTGTATAGCCTGAAGTGCCTGGCCCTGCCTAAACTTGGAAGCTAAACAGGATTGAGCCTGGTTGAAATCTGGATGGGTGACTTAAATGTTGTGAACTGTCCAGACAGCTTCAGCTATGAGTGGTATAGAAATGTAACGTAACGTAACGTAACGTAACGTAATAATAATAAAGTAAGCAAAGCAACAACTCATATCAGATGGAAAGAGAACCATGGTTTGGTTTTTGTCATAGCACTTACGCCCAAAAGTTAGCGCCTTCTCCCACCCCAGTCCAATCCAGTTGTTCCTCCCTCTTTAGTGAAAATCAGTTTTGCAATCAATTCCAGCTGTCAAACTATGGTTTGCCCTCCAAATCGATTTTGCATGCCAACTTCAAACAGAAACTTGTAATCCTAACTTGAAGGAAAATGCAAGCCACTGTTTATCAGATTTGTGAACCAATCAGAAAGTTGTTGCTACTTGAACCAAATAAAAAGGTAATGAATAAAAGCAAATTGCCATTTACACTAAACAGAAGGCAACGAATTCAATCAGTATGTGTGTTTAGGTAATGCAAACCATGATTTGGAAATAGGTAGAAATACCTATTTAATAGATAAAAGCTGAACACACATGGTGCTTCCATTTTCACTTTCATACATGCTTGCCTAGATTATAATCCTGCCCACATCTAACTCATGGCAATTGAAGGCATGGAAGAGGCTGGTATCCCCTAAAGCAAATTTCTTAGAATTAGCAAATGAGGGAAGAAGGTCTGATTCCCAATAACGGCTCCCTGTAGTCCCATAATGCTTTGTCCACCCCCTTTTCCAGTATTAAGAACAATTACATAGGGAAAAAGAAAGAGAATTATTTTACTACCATTTTGTATGTGCACACATCCTAAGAGAGTGCTTCTTTCTAAAAAAAAATGCAAATGAAATAATGGTGTTACTTACGATAATCTCTATGAATTTCATCTATTTCATTCTCCGTCTGGTGCTTTGTAAATGTCATGCTCTGCAACAGTAGTACAAATATTACTTTTTAATGAAGAAAGGATGAGGGTTATTAAAGCTTCATACCAATTATTTCATGACAAAATTGCCTTGAAACCCAGAACAGTTTTTCGATTCTGCTCTGGCACTCCTCCCCTTCTCTAAGGATTGTTCATCAGCATTCTTTCCTATCATGTTGAAACAACCTATCTGCATTTAAGATTTCATGGACTCCTTAAGGAGAGATCTTTCTGCTTTCAAGAAAAGCTCTTGGCATTTTGAAACAGAATCCCATAGTAAATTTGGGTGCTTTGGTATTGAACAACTAAAGTATATTTTGCCCACATTTTTATCTGGATCTATGGGAATACTCCTTTCCTATTTTAAGCAGTCTATTTTAACCACAAAGACTGCCACTTCTTGAACTAAGAAACCGAAATGGCTGCCATTAATAAGCAACTAAAGAAGCTACTTTATATTGAAGGCTAAGCAACTGTTGTAGTTCACACACCTGGAATGTCATCTAGAGAAATATGTGAAACAAAACAGCATTAAAAAATAAAGTTTCTAGCACCCTTAGTGGTAAATATATTTCCAAATGCCCAGAATCACTTCAAATAGAACATTCCCAATTGACTAGGAACATAATGGAGTCAAATGCACACCCTCAAACTGAATTAGTTTAATCATATTTTGCACAATATCTAAGCCACAACATTATGGTATGCACTTATCTCCAACACAGCACTGCAAAACCTAAGTCAAGTTACATTTTGCAACTGAAGTTTGGAGGGCAAGCAGAAACCATACTGTGATAGGCTGAATGGAAAAATATATAATTTATGCTAAAGATGGAATAATTAATCAATTTTGAACACACAAAGTGAGGAGAGAACATGGAAGCCTAAAAACTGTGTTCATATGTTTTAAATAATAAATAAATAAATATGACATCAACAGTGTTTTGGTATTATAAATCAAATGAGCCAGAGTCGACATTAATGTGTCCTACAGACAGGGTATCAAATGTGAGCTATATGGAAAATGCCAGTCTAGCATTGTCCACATTGAATTAAGATTTAAAAAATGGATATGTTTTACTGCACCTTCAGACAGGTTAATAATCAGAGTTCACAGGGATGGTGAGGGGACAGGAAAATTAAAAACCTAAAATGGAAAATAATAAACAGTGGCACACAGTACGTAATAAAACTAGTGGCAAAAGCTAAAGACTGCCAGCTCATAAAACTAAAATAAACCATCAAACAAAATAAATTAGTTTGACAATTTAATAGTAGTAAAACTTAAGTTCTTAAGATACCCGGGACAATAAAAGGGTAGTGCCAACGTGCACAAAACGTAAGAGAAAAATAAGCCACCAATGAAAAGGTTGTCTGTCTTACAGCTACCCACCTCAACTGTCAGGGGTACCTGGTGGAAAGCTGATGAACTATGCATGCTCAGTTAACCATTATTATTGTTTATTAAAATGAATGATAGATTGGGGTGGAAGTTCTATTAGGTCTCAAACCAAAACTTACATCTTCCTTAGGTTTACTGGATTCAAGCTGTGCTTGAGTCTTCTCAATGTTTTCTAGCTCTTTTACTATTTCAACAACTGTTGAAGAAAAAACCATCATGAACACAGGAACAAACATCACAGGCGTTCTTATTATATTAAGATATAAAATACATCTAGGAATAAATTCAGTCTTTTCTGTTAGGGTTTAAAGTTTGAAGCATACACATTTTAAGAGAAAAAACGTTTTGCCCTATAATGAAATTCGGGGAACGGGGAGATGTTTCTCATCTACTTGTTTAAGGCAAATCCTGAACAAAATAGGAAAGACAAGACCTGTAGGAATTGTTGGAATGAGTGGAAAAGATCAGTAAGCACAATCTAGATGCCAGACATAACTCGTAATTATGAAATATTTCTCCTGTCTTTAATTGAAATTATTCTGAGCAAGCTCTAAGATACTTCTTGTCAGCATATCCTTCACAATGATATCTGTCAGACATTTTTACAGCCCCCTAAGAAAATCTCAGAGAAAAGAGAAAAATAAATGATCCTTGTCTAATGTATTCTAAGTCATCCCTACAGCTGGCTCTAGTAAAAGCCTGTTGCTCTTAAAATAGCTGTTCAAAACAAGAGCTTATTTACTTGCTATTGCAACCCACTTTCTGCATGTTGTATACCTCATACTGTATATCCATCACAAAGGTTCTTTATCAGCAGCCCCAAAAAACTCAATAACTAGGAGCCATGAACACTGAAGCACACTGAGAAGCTTTGAATGTCACAGTAACAAGGTCTGTGGCTCATTTCTTTTTTTCCAAGTGATAATTATATTTCTTATTTGTTAATCTCCTACCTTTGCTCCCTGCATTAGAGTAGCTATAAGACTGGCTTCCTCAGAAGCACAGTCCTTTCTACTGTAAATGTTTTGCATTGATCAGATGATCCTTGAATGATTCATATGGATGGAAATATTTCACAGAAATATGCCACCCATGCAACTCATTCAAAGGCAAGTCCATGAGATATTTAGATATATAGACAGACAGATGTGTTTGTGTTGGGTTGTAATCCACAAATTGCTCAAATGACAACTGTTTGCCTGTATGTAAGTGCTATGGCTAAGTTCCAGTTTAGCAGTGGCCCTTACAGCTTGTTGCCAGAATCTGATCAGTGGTTGTCTGGAAGGGTTTGGGCCTACTCAGCCTGTGGAATGTCAGAATCCGGTTGGGGTTATTTCTGCCAGCATTCCAAGAGAAAGCTAGCAAGAGTTAACATATTCCCATGCAGCTACTAGCTCCAGCCTTGACCAGGAAGAAAGATGAGAGCCTCTCTATGGGAACATAAGAAAAAGGGAGAGGTTTTCAGAGGTGTCACACAAGTTGAAGTATCTCTTCTGAAAGATAAAAGGGAGCTTCACTGATGGGCTACTCGTACAATCCCCTGCCTATTCTCTATTTCGGAAAAAGACCATCACAGCTGGATGCTGCTTTTCAGCTGAAGTCCAGGCTGAAAGACTAAACTAGGAATATTCCTGGCTTTATTTTCTGATATCCTCTCTGTTTGGACATACAACCATCAGAATATCTGGAGATGCTCTTCATTTGAACTCCCTTTCATGAAGTTCTAAGCCAGGAAACTACCTGAAACTTACAAGTTATTGTGTTATGCAAAACTTATCTGGAACTTTTGTCTCCTGTGGCTGCAAGAAAATACTTTCTGCAGCCTGAGATAATATTTGCTTGTTTACAGTTTGCATAATGAAGGTAATTGGCTAGAAACATGACTTGACAGCTTGACTACAAAGATAGCCAGAGGCCCAGCACAGCACAATAACAGACATGCCTGCCCAGGGCTGGTTAGGAGCCAAGTGCAAGCAAGCACTCAGCAAATCCTCTCTGATAGAGTTTTCAAGAGCTACTGCTAAGTTCCTGGCCATCTGTTTGTTTGATCCTTGCATAAAGAACTACCCAATCCTATACAATATGGAGCCAAACAAGTTTGAAGCAATCAGGAGAAACACTTAAGACCACTGGATGAATCAGAGGATACAATTTCAGTTAAACTAACTTGTGCCTCAACTGAGTTGGACTACACTATCTCCATCCCAATATAAAAATCGCACAATATTCAACAAGGTTACTTAATTTAGGAACTGCAGGTGGTCACCACTTCGACACACTAACTGCTCTGAGTATGAGCAGAAAACATTGCATGGATGTTTTGGTAATACCACCCTATGTAGTAGAAACTCACTATCCACTTACATTTGAAATAGTTTATGAAGGACCTATGGGATGGAAGAGCTTCTATTAAAATAGTTTTCATAGAACAGGCACTTTTAAAAAAAGGAGACAAGGTTCCATAGAACTAATCCACTGTGATCAAGCTATTTAATCAATCATTGTAGTTTGATCAATACAAATTATGTTTATTAAGCAGCTATTTAAACCAAAACAAAGGAAAGTTTGGCCCAAACCTAATAATAATACCAAGTTTTCTGAATGGAGTAGAGAGGGTTAATGAATCAGAACCCAACCTTCCAAATTCAGAAAAAGCAAGCAAGTTACTACCAAGAAATAATACTTTCAATATTTATTTATTTATAGCATTTCCAATCGCAGAAGCCTCGGGGCGGCTTACAAAGAGAATAAATAAACATAGAAAAGAATAACATTAAAACTTTGGAGTATCTCGGCCATAATTTAAAAAAAGATAAATAAAAACAACCAATTAACAATTAAAATATCGTTTAAATAAAAAGGTCTTGGTCTGGCGCTGAAAAACAAATGAAGACGGCGCCTTTATTAATATAAGCTGAATATAAGTTCAGCTTATATTGGTGGCAGCAGTCTGAAGACAAAGCAGCTACTGGACCAAACTGAAGATTTGAGAGGATGCTCTGTGAACCACTTTAAAGGTTCAGGAGGAAATCAAGCTCTATCAGAGAAAAAAGAATGGAACTTGATAAGAGAATTGGTTTAGGGTTAGGAACTGGAGGTTCTAACAACTGATTAGTGGTAAAATAACCCTATGGAATCCTTTACTAAAATAGTCACAGCAATCTTAATGAATAAGTTCCCTTAATCATTTCTTAATTAAGAAGCAGAAGCAACCTTCTTGGTGCTATTCCTCCCAAATTCTTATTGAGAAGGCATGTGATTTAGGTATTGTTTTCAAGCCATAACTATTAATACAATTTACAGAAATAGCTAAGTAAGGTGGGCATGACTGAGATTTATAAAATTATGCATGATATAAAGGAAGTGAACAGGGAAAGTTTTTTCTGCTCTCTTGTTATGCTAAAACCCTGAGATCATCTAGTCACTTGTATGATGGGAGATTGGATTTTTTTTGGGGGGGGGGTACACTCGTTTCAAGACTACACTCTTCCCAGTACAAACAGAAGCAAAAGCAAATATTCTGGGTAGAAAAAAGGAAGAACACAACCCATAATTTGCTGCCTCTCTAGATGCTGATGGCCACCAATTCAGACAGCTTTAAAAGATTTTTTAAACAAATTCAGGAAGCATAGGGCTGGCAATGACTACTGTTCTTAATGGACATATGCTACCTCCAAAATCAGCACCATTTTTCTGACTACAAGTTGCTATGGAGAAAAAGCTAGAGAACGCTATTGCCTTCATTGTTCCAGGTGAGCGTCTCAGACACATCTTGTTGGCTACTGTTGGAAACAGGCTGCTGGACTAGATAAACCTTTGGTTTGACCCAAGAGGGTTTTTTTTATGTTCACACTATTATACCTTTTTTTCTGAACAATTATATTCAGAAATATATTCTTGCAGCTCTTGCTAACATTTTAAAAAGTTAAACCAAAACATTTGGAATAGAAACATCTGTTTTTAACTCCAACTAATGAAAATAGGACAATTATACTATAAGAGGTAATCTGTCAGGTTGCCTTCCTCTTTTTCTGTAGACAAATACTTATTTCTTTGGTGATATTTTTCCATTTTAACTCTAGAGTCACACTGACCCACTGGAAAGGATCCCTCTGCCTTCGGCTCTAAAGGGACAGTTATTCATCTGCACTGAGTCAGAAACTCCCCCGCTAAATTCTTTTTAGAGAATCTTCACACTTAAAATCTACTCAATAGCTTTGTAAGAATCTGCATTGTACATATATACATCTCAGTCTAGAGAGATTGAGAGAGTGCATTGTAGACAGCAATTTCTATATGAATACTGATTCTGAAATGAACTATAACAGAGAAAGACCTGCAGAGCATCTAGTGAGATGAATGTATGACGAAATATAATAACCACATTTAATTTCTGACCAAGGTAAATAAGGGCAAATGAAGAGATTAGCAAAATCAAGTCTCTAAGAGCAGCTTTACATCACAGACAACATTACAAGCTAGGGTATTTTAAGTTTTGTCCACATGGCAAGAAACTTTGTGAGATGGCCACATAGATTAAGCCATAAGATTTGCCTGATCCCCACTGTGATCACTTCTGCCAGTGGTGCAAAGGGAATCCACTCATGCAGAAAGTAACCACTGCTGCTAGAATACACAAAGTGGATGCCACGCAAATTTCAAATGGCCCTCTGACATGTGAAGATGGCCCAAAGCAAAATGTGAATAAAAAGAAATAACTAATCAGCAACTTAAGATTATACTCTTTTAAAATTGTAAATTGTTAGTAAAACCATCAGCAGGTTTCAAGTAAAACATCATCTGCAATTCAACTTCCTACCTGATTTGGGATTTAAAGAATCACACTGTGAATTATACATATGCACAAACTCCTTATGTCTTTTAATAAGCTGTTGCCTTGTTCCCTGGGTGGATAGCCCATATTCTTTTAGTCTTCTCCTCAGATCACGGTCAGAAAGTAAATTGTAAACCACTTTGGGCAATAGCTTTCTTCCAGAGCTGAAAGAATTAAGAAACACAGGAGAAAAATATAAAAAGAGGTTTTCCTGCAGAGTACTTGAACATAATTTTACTACAATACTGTTCATCTAGGAAATATGCATTACAATGAAAGCTCAAATAGTTATAGGAGTACAGCTTCAGGAAAAGTTTTGGTAGGAAGCACTTCTGCTATTTTTCCCAGAGATGTGTAAGTAATACTTCACTTCCAGATGTCCCCTTTCATCATTTTGCATCACCTTGCAATATGCTGTACCAATATGAAGAGTGATTTAATGTACATATTCCACTTGTATTCCTCTTTTTCTTCAAGAACCAAAAGCTCCCCTTCGTTTTTAGTTTCATAAGAGTCCTGTGATGCAAGTGAGTGTAAGGTGTCATGAACAGCACTCAAGTTTTTCAAAAACTGTTTCCATGGCAGTATATGAAAAGCTGAGTATTGTTGAGCAAGCTCTCCATGATTATATGGCACTGTTACAAAGAAATATATTAACATTATTACAGTCATTCAAGAACCAGTTAACAGTCATTATTATCATATATTCCAGGTATTTCCTATTTCAAGCAGACCAAAATATAAGTCTATGACAACACATTTAAACTAAAAGAAAGTCACAGATCAAAATTTAAAATATTCTCCTCAAAACACCGTAATGGTTATCTGCCTCTCCACCACAGTTCAAAGCCTGCTGAAAAAGACTTGCCCTCTGGACCAAATTTCAATGGCATTAGTTGTAAAGTTCACTGGAGAGTACTTTAAAAGGGTAAGTGGATTCCAAGTCCACATGATTTCTGGAATAGACTGTCCTGCAGGTAAGATTTTATTCCAAATTTCTCGAAAGGCAGGCTGGGTCCAATTATGTAGATATTTTACAGAGAGTCTACCCTAATCTAAGAACAGATAGGAAACTGATACAACTCCTCAATTCCTTTAATTTGCATGCTATTAAAATATAAGCTAATGATGAAGAAAGAATGCCATAGGACGTGTTCTACTGTTCACCAGAGTGCTCCTTAATGCTGGTGTCACAAAAAGCACCAGATCACGTTCCACACCTCTCAAAGGGCAATAAAATCTCCATATTCAAGCAGGTCAATGTGTGAAGGATGAGTTAGCAGGTAACACTCTTCCATGACACAGTAAGGATGCCACCAGCAACCATGAGACGAGACCTTGACACCACAACAGATGCATTCATCCACCCACCCCAACAAAGAGTTAGACAACATGTGAGTTAAATGCGACAGTGTTACCAGTTCAACCGTTCTCTCCTGCTCTATGGAAACTGAATTAGTACCCAGCTGTACAACAATAGAGAATATGCTTTTGTCTGGAATGATGTTTCTTTCCAAGTACTACAATGAAAAACAAGTTAAAATAGAAGATGAGTATGTTAATTAGAGCATTTTAACCATCTTCTTCTTTGTTCTCTGAAGTGTAGATGCAGATATATTTCTTGTCAGGATGATTGCTCTTTAAGATTCTGGTAATTATAATAAAACTTTTAAAGGGTAATCATTCATACAGCCTATGTTAAAACACAGACAAAACAAAAGTTGTTTAAAGAAGATGAGAAATGAGAGTTGTAGCAGAACTATTCCCTTGCATGTTTGCACTGAAGAATCACTAGGACTAGAAAAGGCTGGATTTCACAGAGAGGCCGGGCTATTGCATAATTTGCCTTCTATATCTACACACTTCTAATATAGTAATTTCAGGGCTGACCTGAGCCATTGTCAAAGTGAGTGTTTAATTTCTTTAAAAGTGAACTCTATGGAAGAAAATCCTAGAAGTAATGATTTTCCAGATTTTATTTGTTACAGAATGAAAAACAAATACAAAGGCAAGTGTGTTGCTGAGTAAAGTATTACTCTAGTTTGTTTGTGCTTAAATCTTTTTGAAAATTTATCTGCAAATAAAATAAAATTGGAGATCTCATAACCTGGATATAACCTAAGAATGCCATTCACCCTCTTTTCTGATCCACAGACCCTCTAAATACTTTAGCTGACATGTCCCAACTGCCTCTTCACCAATTTTCCACACCCAATCATATAAACTCCCCTTCCCTTTTACAGTAACTTTCCAACCTCTATGTAATTCTTTTTCCTCCCACACACATACACCCCCCAACCCCGTTAAAAGAAATGTGTTCCTACTTTACAATAGACCAATGTACTTTCTTGGCACTGTTTGTATGAACAATGAGTCTATGCAAAAATCTCACAATTATGGTAGAGGTCCCATATGGGTCATTCAGACAGTACATTCTCTGTAGCGCTAAGACAGTCGACAGCTATCACCATCTCTTCTTGTGTACTTCTTGAAGATGGCCACCAGCTAGTAAATCTAACTATTCCACTAAGGTTCAGTTTGCGGAAACTTTCCATTATCTTCAATGCCTAGAGGAATAGCAGGAACCATTCACCTTGGTCCCATCCCCAAAGTTACTGTCCCAGCTGCCTTGATTCCCAGATCTTTGCAGGCTGGATGAAAAATCTGAAGAAACTTTATTTGAGCATATTAAGGTTATGTTAGCTTCTCTGACCATGAGTTTAGTATGATGTCCAAACTGAAACCATGTGGCATACATTGCCGCTTTTAAATAAGAATGAAAACCAAGCTTTGCCAGAATTTATGTATGTTTGTTGTTGTTGTTGTTGTTAGTTGCAAAGTCATGTCCAGCCCATCACAACCCCATGAACATTCCTCCAGGCCTTTCTGTCCTCCACCTTCCCCGAGTCCACTTAAGCTCACACCAACTGCTTCAGTGACTCCATCCAGTCACCTCATTCTCTGCCGTCCCCTTCTTCTTTTGCCATCAATTGTTCCCAGCATTAGGCTCTTCTCCAGGGAGTCCTTCCTTCTCATTAGGTGGCCAAAGTTTTTGAGTTTCATCTTCAGTATCTGGCCTTCTAAAGAGCAGTCAGGGTGGATCGATAAGACTGACTGGTTTGATCTCCTTGCTGTCCAAGGGACTCACAGGAGTCTTCTCCAGCACCACAATTCAAAGGACTCAATTCTTCGGTGCTTAGTCTTCCTTATGGTCCAAGCTTTCACAGCCATACATTGCAACTGGGAAAACCATAGCCTTGACTATACGCACCTTTGTTGGCAGGGTGATGTCTCTGCTTTATGAATGATAATCAATTCTATATATAATTCCCTGCAGAAAGCTAGCATCTTGTGCAGAATCTAGAATCATAAATTACGTGTCCCACTCAATTGCTACCTGGAACCAGAAACAAACCCTAATAAGCTAATTTTGCTAATTGCTACCAAAATAAGACACCTTGTCAAGGTCATGCTACCATAGGTAAATCTTTTGAGACAAGAATCTTTTCAGGGTTAAACTGCATGAAACTTAAATTAAAAATAAACATATACAAAAGAGCCATATTTCTGAGAATTCCAGAGGCAAAGCATATTCTAAGCATATATATTTTTGTGCATATGCAAGGAATAATACAAAATCAACAAATATTGGAAAAGCTATCAACAGAAATGCTAGTACCTACTCAAGAGTTACAGAGACCTCTGCGGAAATACAACTACCTACAAACACTGTAGTAGATAGTTTTTCCATTGTCTTTCTATGGTGAAGGACAACCAACTGTCAGTGTACAGCTGTGATATTTTGCATTCAGGTTAACTCCAAAGAGCTAACATGTTGTAACCAGAGAAGGCAAAGGAAAAAAAGTAGTAAGAAACCTATAACTTGCAAAACAAAGTTCATATTCGATCAGCCCTGTTATTATTCCAATAAACAATGGAATCCATAGGCTAAAATTAAAAGATGCTTTCAACAAAAACAAGGCCTGAGAACAGTAGAACTATGGCTACTATTAGTCTATAGGAGGGATTCCTTCATGCCCTTCTGTTTGACCTGGTGAATGCTTCTTCTCTTAGCAGAGGAGGGAATTTTCACCAATGTTGCCCTCCCGGCCAAAACACAGTCTCCAAGTGATTATGAGACCCTCCAAAGCAGTGCAGAAAGTGCAGCAGGAGAGGGGGGTAAATCAGTAAATATCACCTCTCCTGTTTTTGTTAAGGAGGGCATCTGCTAGATCAAAAGCCCTTTCACCAACAGAAGTTCTTCCAATCAATAACTGTACAAGTTGAACAACTGAATGCAACTCCATTTCTTAGACCATGATTCACCAACAATACTGTTATCCAAAACAACTCTGGGGACGGCAAGGACTGCATTGGAAGAGTACCACCTACCGACGAACTGATTTTAAAAAAGATCTTGTACTGTGCCAAAATGGACAGATTGACTTTGTCTCTGAAGGAGAAAGAAGATACAGACTTCTATCAAACTTGGAATTCCTTTTATTGTTGGCTAGAGAAACAGGACTATGCATAGACTTAAATATGCTTATGGATTATCATAAAAAGAAAAAGTTTGGGGGGCTGACCCAGTAGGTCTGATGTTTTTGATGATTGAAGTTTTTTAGTTTCTTTTTGTTAGTTTTGTTAGTTAGTAGAAAATAACAATAAAGCTTTTTCAAAAAAAAACAACAACAAAACAACTCTGGGGGATGACAGGCAAAGAGGTATGAAATATCCTGCTACAGATACTATAGCTCTCATGGCTACAACTAATGTGTATACTATGATGTCAACTAGCAGGCCAAACTACTTGTGGACAAACCTACCAGCTGCCATTCTCTCATTTCATTTTCACAAAGGAAGACCCAAGACATAACCAAGCCATAAAAAAAAATTCTAAATGCTAATTGAGAAAAATGCTACACTGTAAATTTTAATCCAATACCTAGGGAAGAAATTACCACTAGACCATAGGAGGAAAGTGAGACTCACTGGAGCTTGTTCCTGCACATGTACAGTGGTACTCGGGTCGTGAACAAAAATTTCATAAAAATTTTTAACTCAGGTCATGAACTCCGCATTGGGTGGTGACCATGATCATGGCTGTCTCCCTACCCCCCCCCCCGGGTGGGGAGATGGCTGTGACCGTGCTGGGAGCACAGAGGAGATGGCCGAGATCGCACCTGTCCTTCCTGCTCAAGCGTGCCTGTGATGGAGCCCCTCTTTCCTGCAGGAGCACAACCACGATCTCAGCCATCTCCCCCCCGCAGCACAATCATGCCTGTTTCCCCGCCGAGCATGCCCGCGTTCGCACTCATCTCCCCCCCCGCGCATCCGCATTCGCATCCCCCCCCCCCCCCCCCAGCGTGTCAGAATGACGGGCGCATGCAGGGATGACAGGCGTGATTGCACTCATGCTGGGGCAGCGGGGAGATGGCAGTGCTTGTGCTCGGGGTGGGGGGAGATGGCCACGATCTTTGTTGTCACTTTGCTTCACATTTTTCTGATTAAAAAATAGTTACAGAACGGATTAATCTTATTTACCTTGAACCTTATGGGGAAATTTAACTTGGCTCATGACAATTTTGGGTCAAAACCAGAGTCCTGGAACAGATTAAGTTTGTAAGCCTAGGTACCACTATATATACTGCTAAACTATGGTTTAGCATGGCATACAAATCCTGAGTTCCTGGGGACAGGCAGCTGAATTCCCAAGCTTCACTGATGTGGCTTCTTCTTGTTTTCCACAAACGTATCAAATCCCATCTTAACTATTATTTATCATTTGTAAAATTTATGAATCACCCTTCTGCCACAAGTGCCCAAACCAATTTGCAACAAACACTGCTGATAATGTTCCCTAGCAACCAGGCTGGGGCTCCATGAACAACTTTCACATTTCATTTTTTTTTTAAATCCTTGACATTGTTCATCCTGTAGGGGCAGCCTATTTATATTTCACATTTGGAACTGCCTGGCTTTTTAAAAAAAGCCTGTAAAGCAGAATAGTCTGCTCTATTCATAACTGAACTCCATTCATGCTTTTTGTTTTTTTACCAACCTATTGAAACTGTGGACAAAATTCTTTCTATGGCAAGACAGCCATTTCAGAGGCAGTAAACATACTTTCATTTTACCCTGTGTCTTCCCTCAATATCTCAACTTTCCACATACTTTTGGAAGGCAGGGTGTCAAAAGGTGGAAAAAATGCTGGCCCACCAAAGTCCAGATGTAGTCTAGGGCAGGAACAGTTTATCCTGCACAGTCAAAATCAGACAATAAGAAGAAAGATCACATTAACAATGTAGCTAAATCTCTAAAGGACAAAGCAAACTCACTGATTACTCCTTATTACTGTAAAAACAAGAAGATCTATACAAACTATTAAGAACCTTGAGATGCACAAGTTAAGCAGGTAAATCATAGTCAGATATGCATCTGTATTACATTGTAACATAATAAGAAGCTTGAGTAGTTTCAACAGAAGAAATAAATAGAAGCCATTGCACTACTTTATTTAACCTTCCTTGTGGTACTTGCTAATTTGTATCATAACAGTTTCTGAAACACTAACAATCCTCTACTGTGTAAAAAGTGTGTTATGCACGTTCAGGTTATGTGTTATAATGATTTTGCTGTTCAATACAATTGCTTACTAAGTTCTTAGTAGAGCATGGGTCCTCCAACTGTGGCCCATGGGCTGGATCTGGCCTGCCATGCCCATTTATCTGGCCTGCCTCAGAGGTTTTGGACTCGCTGCACCCTCCGCCGTCTGCACGCACGCTCGCCGCCGCCTCACCATGTGGGCGACGAGGCGATGGCTTGCTCGCTCAGAGATGGTTTTGGACTCACTAGGAAATCTCCAAGAAGCAAGCCAGCGCCGCCGGCGAGGCAGCAGCTTGCTCGCTGGGAGATCTCTGAGCAAGCAAGCCACTGCCACGCGCCCCCGCCGCCTCACCGGCCCGCGCCCATGGGCACCCCCGCCTCACTGGCCCATGCCTGTTGCCACCACCTTTCAATTGGGCCCCTGTTGAAAAAGTTTGAGGACCCCTGTAGTAGAGGAAGCCAGGATAATTAGGTTCAAAATGATGAACAAGCATGATTTTAGGAATTCTGCACTAATTGGAAACTATTTCAGAATACCTGCTCTGTTGGACATTCCTGCCAATGGTAAAAGCATTCCTGCCAATTGCAAAGAGTCTTGCCACCCTGACGCACTGTAAAGGGCGGGATACAAAAACAATAAATAAATAATAAAGCATCAATCAGTATGTTCACACCCTTTTCAACATTGCCGAGTATTGTTTGGATCCATTAGGTAATATCTTGCAAGTGTAATCTACAAGCTACTTGAAGTGCAGTACTGCACTTTTATATTTGTATTTACCTTTGATGAGGCCACATAGAAATATAGATACAAAGTGAGTCAGAAGGGGCTTCCCAGGCCATCCAGTCTGACCCTTGGCTCCAGTTGGCTCCACTTACGTAATCCACAAAAGTGGTCTACTTCAAAGACTTGCATAAGTCCATCTCCCATGCCCATGGAATTTGAAGGATATTATAAATAGATTATATTGGGCTTTTACCCAAGCAAACAGCAGAATCTATAAAGGGTTCAAAAAAAGTGAGTGGCCACCTGCTAGCCTACTCAGTCTGCCTAAGGCAGCCTTTCTCAGCCTTTTCACTGCAGTTCTATTAGCATTTGCAGACTTCCACAGGGTTCAGCCTTTTTTTGCAGGACTGGGTCAAGCATGAGAGGAAGTCCACGGATGCTGGTGGGATGAATTCTGAAAGGATTCATCCCAATCCTACCTGCCTCTATCTCAGTGGCCAGCACACATCTGTACATTGTGGAGGGTGTGCACAATGTAAGGATGTACAATAGGGACCATTGCAGGTCATTTAATACCAGGCACATGGAATCACCACTACACCACTCCCCACAAGCCTGAGGTGGACATGCTTCCTGCCCCAGACACTCCCCTCATGGGAGAAGACTCTCCCTGGGCCCCTTCCCATCTCCTGGGCAAAGGGGGAGAGCAGAAGGGCTCCACAGCAAATAACACGCGCATTTTGTTATATTATGAACATCCCCCGTGAATGCTTTCCCTCCGCTCAATATCTTGCAGAACCTCCAGCAACCTCTTGTGGAACCACAGGGTTCTGGGGATCCCTGGGCGACAAAGGCTGACCTAAAGCATAACATACTTACAGGTACTAATATGAGTTGGTTCCATTTTTTCGAGGTAGCTACGTAAGAATGATGGAGAGGAGCCATAGCTTAGTGGTTAAGCACACGCAAAAGTTCCAGGTTCAATCCCCAGCATCTCTAGGTAGGGCTGGAAAACCCCCTGCAGGCGTAGGTAGATCAGCCTCAATGTAAAAGATCTTCCTTTTATTCAACAAATCAAAGCAATCTTGAATCAAGTAAACAACACATTTTGGCTGCTGATACTTAATATTTTTTTGCACTTTTAGAAGGTGCTTATTAACTTTATTTATCTTCACAAACACTGTTTACAGGTCATAAAACAATCTGGGCACAGTCTTGCATGCAAGTCCCTCTCTTATTGCATGGGCAATGCTCCCCAGAACACATCCACTCAATTCTCTTACCTTCGAAGACTCTCCTTCTTCTCTCCTCTTGTTAAGCACATGTCAAGGTGTTTGTTTATATGTAGTTCTTGAACAGGAATGCCACATATCGGACACTCCACTGAAACATTTAAAAATGCTCAAGTCAGTACATGACACTCCTAAAAGGCTGCTTGTTAATCTAAATATTTTCGCGTGAAAAATACATTGACAGTTGTGCAGAAGGAAATGCGGACTTCGAGGGGGGCTGTCTGCAGATAATACCATTTCCAAAATAAAGTACCACTGCATTTTATTATCAAACATACAGGGGCACATACAGATATAGGTCCTACCATCCAATTTGTATAAGGAAACAGTCCCTGTACCAGACAATATAGGCTATTTAGATTTTAACTGGTAACAGGAAGATATAAATATTATATTCTAGATTTTCCTATATGAAGTTGTATTGGTGTCCTTAATGAGAACAGTGGTTCAAAAATGTAGAATGTTTCCTACCTATCTCAAGAAAGACGGTTTCCAACATATTTCAAGAAATAAACTTTGCTTTCTTGCTTCTCCAGTAGAAAAGTGAGACTAAAATGATATATGATGTAGTTGACCTGCATACTAAAAGCCCAAACTGTGCTTCTTCTGAAGCAGGATCAGAAGGAACAATTTGCAACAGGGAAGCAGCACATCTGGGGAAAGATCACTGCTCCACTGCTACTTGTTCCATTCCCCTCACGGCTTCCCTCCTCCCTCCCCCGCCCACAAGCCACTTACTACTTGTGAATACAACTATCAAAGGATAACAAACAGAAATCTTTGGTGCAGTCAATCATAGGCAAAATTCTTAGATGTCAATTCTCAACTTCATCCCTATCCAGGGCAGACAAAGTTATTTTGGTGTTTTTGGGATTTTTGGTTTTTAGTTTTTGCTTTTTTCTTTTTTAGTAATTTCCTCTTTCAACAGTCTTCACATGGCTACTTTACAATTATATTTTTAAACTTGTGGCAGTTTCATTCGTTATCCACCTTAGGGCCTTTCAGGCAGAAAAGCAGGCTATATGGGGAGGCTGCCCTCACCCCGCCCCCCACCACAGAGACAGAGAGAGAGAGAGAGAGAGAGAGAGAGAGAGAGAGGGAGGGAGGGAGGGAGGGAGGGAGGGAGCGCAGGTGCCAAAGAGTACTTAGAGGCATGCATCCACCATGGTAATGCTACATTTAGGAAGTGTAATTCTACTCCAAGATGTGCTCCACCTTTAAAGATCCAATTTGTGAAGAACAAACTGGGGAAACAGCAAGGCAGAGAAAACATTCTTATAATTGCAGTAGCCCATTCATGTCCACAGGCCAGAAGCAGAATGCCTATTTTCCATAAGCATGGAAGGACCACGGTAACAACATCATTATTAATGGGGCATGACCTGCTAATCTTTTCAACCTTTGGTGAAATTTCAATAAAATAACAATGCAAAAGTAATAAAGAATGTCAAATTCATCCTAAGAATAACATTTTGTTTCAAAAACAGCTAAGTTCAACCACTTTCCAAATGAAATATGAGCTAGCCAAGTTGTTGGTGTAACATTTAAGCAATGCTACAAAGGCTATCATTACATTTATGACTCAATTCACATGAAGTCATAAAAACGGTCTGCCTTTCCCCATTCCTTTTAGAGTAACCATTACATTGGCCAGTAAAATCTATAGAAGCATCACTGGTGTATCATTAATGAAAATGTTCTGTTACTCATAATATATCAGCCAATATTTTTTCAGTTCTTTTGGAATAAAGGCAGCCTGAACTAGAAGCCACTGCTTAACTAGTATGCTATCAAAGTTAATTTTTCAACTGAGCATTAAACATCTGAAAAGCAAATGCAGAACAACTCGTTTTAACTATCATTATCTTGGCTCCTTTGTAGAGACTAAAAAGGGCACGATGCCACAGTTAGAATTTAAACTTGATATAAATCAATGAAATTCACAGAATTTTAATGACCTTTTCTGTGTTAATAGAAATATCTTTCCATCAGACGGCTGAACAATATGTAAATGAGTTTTTAAAAATAGGATGGGTGCTTCTTCCTTAAGAGGAATGTCTTTAGAGTTCTATATTACACCAGCTGATTCTAGTTGATAAAATAGCCAGTCAGGAATATCTATTGCAGAAAACAGGTATCTATGGTAGAACACACGACATTCATTTCCTGTTCAATACACCATGGGAATGGAACTGATGGGCTCTTCCCACATGCTCCTCTCATGTGTTCATCTGCTATCAATTGTTATCAGATCAGCACCAGGCAGATATTTGTCTTCTCCCCGCCATTTCAGTTGTCTGCTATTGGATTTGCTGTTTCTAACCCATGCAATTTTGACCATTCATGAACTTTTGTCATAGGGTAGCATATAAATAAAAATAAACTTACTAAGAAAAATGACACCAAAAAATATGCCCAAAACAGCAAATACAATGTACATAAACAACCCGAAAAGACACCAAATGAGTATAGCTAAAATCAATGTGCGACATTGATAAATACAGCAAGAACTCTTATCATGTCAGACTGACAATTTACCCTTTGTGATGACTTTTGTGGCAGATGTGGAAGGTACTTCAGGATTTTTGGTGCCTCCTACAGGGCTTGTACCTGCTACTTCATTGCTTTCCATCTCATAATCCTCTTCAGAACACAGACTCTCTTCATGCTTTAGTTTGATCTTTTTACTTTCTGTTTCAGGCAGTTTCATGTGTCTCTTAGGTTTGCAAACATCTTTGACAAAAATGATGTCCTTATATTGCTTTTCCTGTTTCAAAGCAAAACTAGCTGGAGCAGTCAGAACATGCTCTTTGACAGAAGCCTTCTTAGTCAACACTGTTGTAGGAGAAACTGGTGGAAAGTCCAAGACTGACTGGAACAGCTGCTGCCTAGGAATAAACACAAAATGAGTTCATTGTACAATTATTGCACTTTTCCCACACAACTGTTTCAAACATCTTTTGAATGAGAATGAACAACTGGAACCCAGGAAATCTGTGCTAGAAGCTGTAGGCTCCTCAAAGATTACACACAGGGGTTAACACAAGCTAAGCACAAGTCCACACTATCCAACTAATCTGTTTCTCTGTATTCTACATGCAAAGTCCCCTAACTAGCCTTGGAAGGAAGAAGACTGAGCCACTGCTTAAGAGCTTCATGAGTATTTTGTCCTTCTGAGAGAGCCAGATTGCACTAAGATTCCAGCACTGAGGTGGTTACTTGTTAGAGCCAATTAAGCTGGAATTAGAAAGAAAAAGAAATGGTGAAAGAACCGAACTCCACTGTAATTTCCAACATACAACTGTAGATTTACATTAATTCCTTCATTCGATCTAGAAAATATCTTTTCAAATGTTATATATTTTGTTATGAGCAACACTTCGCACTCCATTTACTGAAGTCTTCAGGATATATGCTGCGTATGCGCAGTCTTCCAGAATTGAAACTGCTGCAATGGCTGTTTCATTCTGATCTGACTTGACAGGCTAGAGCACCACAAAAAAACAGTGGTATAATACCATGACAACTTTGGTCCCTCAACAGCAGGGCTAGAAAGTGAAGCAAACACTAAATTTATATTCCAGAACTCTAAAACAGAACTTTTAGCTTTAAGTTAACAATATGCCATACACTGACAATATGTATAATTCTTTTCAGATTGTTATCAGAGGATACAGTCAAAAACTCTAATACAGAAAATCCTCATTATTTCCTTTTAAGTTCAACAACTCAAGTTCCATCTTGCTTTTCAGGAGAAACTGTAAATATAGCTTTTTTAGCAGTATATCTGCAGCTTCCTAGTCATTCTATACACATTAATACTGGCTCAAAATGAAACCAATTTTCTTTTATGAGAGAGTTCCCATCAAGTTGCCTAAGGAATGTTCTTCCTATGTACTTTCCTACTATATAGTATTTATAGTTTACTTGCTGGGACACACCCAAAGACTAGAATAGGAAGTTGGATCACCACTGGCGCTCATAGCCCATGTGCCTGACATCTCCAGAGTAAACAAGCCAATGGCAGTTTGAGATTGTTTCACCATTAAAGGCAGGCTAGAAATAATGCTGGGCAGATGGAGGTTTGAAAGGTCTAAATAGCACAGCTCGCGCATGCTAAGAGACAGCCACTCCAAAAAAATGTCCCAAACAACATTATTCAAGAACCAGTCTAAGTGCCTGGCCAGCATGACAACATCACGATGCTGGCTATCCCAAGTCCAACACATACATTAGCTCTCACCAAGAACTACATTTTCCAAATAAATCACCAGAAAAGGAAGCTGAGGCCAAAGTCTATGAAGCATGGAACATGACCATTTAATTTCCAAACAAAATTCTATGGTTTCTGGCAAGATACACATGTTCATTCCAGCTATGTGTGCCACACAGAAGAACCAAATATTATTATTAATCAGCAAAAGATGACCAAAAACTGCCAGTGAAGTTACAAGACTATTTTCAAGACACAGTAAGTTAAGTGGTGACATCTAGTGGTCATATATCTTGAGGAACCATGGTTCACATTAAATCCAATAGGTAAAGACAGATGAAAGGCCATAGGCATAATGCTTAACACTGCAACATTTTGCTGTCCACAATGCTGGGAGATGAAGTAGACTTACATATCAAACTAGGCTTACAAAGTGGACTTAAATGCAAAAAAAAAAAAAAAAAGCAAACTGTATTCTTTATCCTGGTAACTATGCAATGGCCAAAGCAATTGTTAAAAACAGAGGAATAGGGAAAAAGGAGGCGGAAGGAGGTGAAAAAGTCATCTTCGACCTTCCCCCTTCTGGTGGTGCTTCCCTGGATTGAAGCCTATAAAAGGAATGAATATGCTCCACTTATACTAAGACATAAATTTTATGTTTCAGCTAATCGTTTACAGCACTGATAAAGTATTTTTATATATTTCACATTAAAAAAAACTACTTTTAACAACCAGTACTGCAAACTCTCATAAACCAGTTGCATGGAAAATGGGAAAAACTTATTTTTTACTTCACTTGAAATACAAGGATTATCACAGCTGAACAAAGAAAGTCACATTTAGCAATGATCAACTGATGCTGGAAACATTTCCTTCAAACACAAATCAACCTAATGGTTTTATCGTAATTACCTCTTTATTACCTCATAAAAAATACAATGGTTCCTCTATAAATTCTATCTGAGTCTGAGTTTAAAGATTAATGGCCTTCATAATACTCAGAGGTATGAAGCATACTGGAATTATTAATACACAATAGAATATTTTTAGTAGCACACCCTCTCTTTCAAAGTCTAAAGCTTATTTTCACATTTATGAAACATTAAAACATGTCCTGATTATACAGCCCAAGCGAGTGGAAAAGGCATGTTTCAGTGAATTATTACTAATATTATTGATTAGATGATGAGATAAGAGCAGGGTGGGGAGATGTAATTTAAAACAAATTGATTTAAATCACTAGTCATACAGGATAGATTTAAACTATGGTTTTCTACATAATTTGCAGGCATGCCTGCCGTACTCATAGGTAGAGGAACTTCATCAAAATATTCCCAAATGGTCTGCTGCCATTATAGGTTTTCTCCTCCAGGCAAAGAATCATGATAAACCTCAGGCTAGACACAAAATGATCCAAAGACTTGGGGAGGATTCTGCTAAAAAGGCTGCATTTGTATTGCTTGCCCCTCCCTCCTCACACGTAGCTTCTCCTGCAGCTCTGTTCCACTCCCAACAATCTTCTATTCATTGAATGTTTTGAAACTTAGCACTTAAGAGGTAAGGAATTGATTCTGTGTACATAGATTTGCAAAGGAGCAATAGGATCAAGGTTTTTTTCTCAGCTCTATATGGTTATTTTATAAGATTTTTGTTGTGAAGAACAGGCGTGTGATCAGACACAAATCAACAGTTTTGAGAATGGTAAAATCAAGCATTTGTGATATTATCTTCTAGATAGAAAAACTGCCCAATAATCTTACCAAAACCTCTGGAAGAGTATGACATTGTGAATGGATTAATAGAATCAATTTACCAACAAATGCAAACATCACATGAACATACAACTCCATGCTACATAATTAAAAACAATCCTTATTTCAGGGACCTTTGAACTATAATGTATCTAAGATAGAAAACTCAGATACATTATAGTAATAAAAATATTTAGATAGATCTACCTCAAAAAATTAAAAAATACAATTTAAATTTAAAAAACCATTTTTTAATTTAAAAAATCATTCATGGGGGGATGGATGAAAGGGAGATAAGGCAGAGAAGGTGTAATAACAAGGAGTTAATATAAAATAAGCAGGGGGGAGAATTGAAAGAAACGGGCAGCCCGGGATACAGTCCAACTTATATGTGAAAGAGGAAGAAAATAACTGGAGATTAGTAAAATTACTTGCATGGGAGAGATGGCCAAAATATAAAATAAAAAGTCTTCTCTACATAAAAATTCTGGCTCAGCAAATTCTGCCTCAGAACAGAAGGCTGAGTCATGATACCTCCAGAGCCAATGCTTCTATTTACTTTTCTTAAGGAAAGCTAAATAATCAAACTCCTTACTAAAAGAAATATCTAACTCCAGAAAGATTAGGTATCAATATGACTGCCAGGTGAATATAACAGATTCTACCATCATTTTGCAAATGGTTCTTTCCCTGCACTTGCATGTGGTGGGCTCAATCATTTGCAGCTCCCTCTGCAAGGGGGCCCTGGTGGCAGAATCTTTAAGCACCCCTGCTCTACATCAAGAGCACAACCACTCACTAAAGGCACATGCCCTTGCTGCAGACACAGCACAGATAAGTATCATTGCCCCCAAATATATTGATTTTGTACAGCTTTTTTGGCACTAATTTTAAAGAAATTCATTACAACTTTTCCAACTATTTTTGGTCTTGTTTTTCTCCTTTTTCCAATATCAAGAAAAATGTTAGTGATTACTGTTTATATGTTTATATTATATGATTGTCCACTTTTTGTTGTTGTTCTGTTACAAATAAAAAAGAAATTCATATTCTGGGGATAAAAGATCAAACAATCATGTTGTCGGCATGATTTTAACACTGCGGGCTTTAAAAGCCCAGCAGTCTTCTTCACACACATGCATTCTAAGGAAAAACACATCTCAAATCCTCTATAAATTCTAAGTTTTGTGTATTTTACAACATAAGGTTAGTAGCAAACACAATATTCCTATTCAGGATGCATTTACAGTCAGATCAGTATAGCAGATGACAGCCAACAACTTAAGCAATAAAAACTTCAGATTACTAGCCAGCTTGATCTAGAAGACATATCCATTCCAATTTTCACACAACTCCAAACAGATTCCCCTCCACAAAAGCAGCCGCACTTCTGTGATCACAAGGTAAATGTTAATGCAAAGCATGACTGTCACATCTAAACTACAGAAATCAGTACAGCTGTTTATGTCCAGCTCACACTGAAAGTAGTTTACTTATGAGCAGCTGCAAGGACGTGACACCAGTCCTTAAGAATATGAAAATCATACAAATGTTACCTGCCCAAGATACCTCTAAACACAGTTTACTATATTATCAACAGCTAACATAGAGGGTGATATATTTTTTTAGAACATTTAACAAGAGTTTCTTCCCTGCAGCTGTTCTCAATAGTTCAACATTTGGGAAGATTATGAGGTCACTGAAGCAAGATCACAGGAGTGGAAGGGAGAAATTATTCATAAACCCAAAGGGACAAAAGGAGCTAATGTCTTCCCCCTCATCTGTTTCCATAAACTCAAGTGTGCCATCTGCTTTTTTAAAATTCATAATAAGCAGTAACACAGAATACAAAGATGTGAGCAACCCTGAGATTACAGCCTTTTCATGCACCTGAGCTCAGCTGAGGACAATACTTTGGGTATGC